CTCAGTCCATATTGAAGGCTGCAGTCCTTGACCCTCTGCAGCAAGTGCATGAGGTCCTCCTCAGTTTCAGCAAGCAGGGTTGTGTCATCTGCATAATGCAAATTGTTAATTAGGCTACTAAATTATTTCAATTAAAAAATAAACATCTAGCATCACTCCAACTATAATGATTTCTCAGGCCTGCCTTCAAGCAGACTGTCTTCTGCTTCTCCATCTACTTCTTTGCCCAGTTAAACAAGGATTCTCCCCAAGCTGCCAGATCTGATCCTCTCTTCTGGGAACTAGCAGTGACCTCTTAACTGTTCCCGTTCACTTTTTCCTTTAATCACACCCACCGTTGGCCCTAAGCTCTCTTGACCCAAAGCTCTAATCTTTGACTTTCATTGCTCACCACCTCATGGCTCCTGCTTTAAAGTCTGGCTTTCTTTGTCTGGCATTCAGGGCCTTCCTCAGCTCAGATTCTCTCCAGATTCTCTCTGCTCTTTCTGCTCAGAGCCAGTTCCCAGACGTGCCCCGTGACCTCCCACCTCTGTCTCCTTGTCCTTTGGTTCTCTCTGCCTCTTCACATCTCCATCATTCCCATCTTCAAAACTCCACACAAATTTACCACTGTCAGGCATTTGCTGATCCACTCTTGCCCCCACCTCTCCACTCTGGTAGGGTTCCAAGTGCTATTGGGTGGGGACAGTCATCACATTTTACCTGGCAGTACAGGTATGTTCTACCTGTTCATTTTCCCTGTGAGACTGCAAGTTCCTTTAGAGCAGGGCCATGTCTGCTTTCTTTAACTATTACAGATGCAAAAATACTAATAACACATTAGCCAATTCAATGTTTTTCATGCATACAATTCAGTGTTATCATCAGATCAATCATGTTTTCTGGGTATCATCAATATCCCGTGCCAAATTTTCCATAATCAAAAAATGAGTCATACCTCAATCATAATCCTTCCTTCCCCCTCCTTCCCTTCTACCCTGAAAGCCTGTTAATGAAGTCATTCAGTGACTATCCCATTTTGATTGACAAATTTCCCTCAGTTTGATTCTTTCAAGGATCATTCATGCTGTGGTGTTTATTTATTTTTATTTTTTTAATGCCCTTATAATTCCTCACACACAGTGGACTTGCCATATTTTAGAATTCAGGAATCACAAATCAGTCTTCATCCTGGGCAAAACCCTAGTTAAAAAAATTGGCTTTTGCTATCCTCAGCAGACCCAGTCCATTCTCCTCCCTGACTTCACGCCCTCCCCACCCAGTCATGCAGTGACTTCATGCCTACTTGCCCCGACAGAACCTGCTTTTGGAAAGTCCTGATAAAGTCACACACTGGGAAATCAGCTGCTGCCGAGGCTTCGAATACTACTCCACTTTTCAACTTTTTGTTTCTTTTATAGAGATGCACTTACCTTGTTAGCTGAAGACACGATGAAAGAGCATATCTAAAATACTGGGGTTTATGAGCATCCTATTGTATTTCACTGTTATTTCTTTTTATATGTTTTATTACTAGGAAGGCTGAACATTTCTGTCTGGGTATGTTCATCGGGCATTTGTATTTCTTCTCTCTCTTGAACAGCTGTTCACACTCTGTCAATTTTTCAGTTACTCTTAATGGTCGGTTGTCTTACTGATTTGAAAAAAGAAATCCTCTTTCTATATTTTTTAAAATTCTTATGTCAGTGAGCCTGTAGACAAAAGTGTTGAGTAGATCGTTGGTGATGTTGTTGTGTACTGTTAAGCTGTAACCGACCCATAGCTGAACCTCCAGCAAGTTTTCAGAGGCAGTTTATTGCATGGGAGAAGATCGCCCATCCTTCTCCTGCAGAACAGCTGGTGGTCTCGAAACACATACCTTCAGGATTGGAGTGCAGCTTCTTGATACTCAGAAATAATAAAAGTCTTAATTGAAAAACAAAATCCTGGGTTATCATGAACCACTGAGCTGGTGGGACAGTTACATTAGGTTATCTGTACATCAGAAGAGGCAGGTACCACCTGTTCCATTCCTCCTGACCATAAGGCTTGGCAGACAGGAGGACACAACAAGACTGCGAGACGGAAGGACATATGACCATCACCGCTGACCTGCTGCAAAGAGGGAGGCAGATCCACAAGATTCCACCTCTTTTTGCACTGGGCTGGTCCAGCTGCCTCCTGGGTTGGTGAGAAGCAAAGGCAAGTGCAAGGTCACAAATGTATACACTATGAGAGCGGCTCCTTTCATGAAGACCTAGGTGTGATTCTTACCAGTGAACCTCATGCTCAGTCCCCAGTCGTTTCTCAGAGGAGGCTTATGTGTTGGTTTCAAGCTGCCTATCCAGACTAAAATGGACTAAGAAAAACGGCTCAGTGGTCTACTTCTGAAAATCAGCCAGTGAAAGCCCTTCTTAGCTCACAGTGGCCTTTACCACAGCCAATCATAAGGAAGACCACGACCAATCACCGGCATGCCGCTGGCTTGGGTGGCAATTCACTGCATCCCACCTGGGCCCCTATGAGTTGCTTGACAACAATGTTAAGCTTTGGATGTCACTGTTCCTTTTGAGAGCATAGGATAATCTAGAGACCTCTTTGAAGAAAAACACACAGTATCCACTAAAATTTGCAAATCATTTCAGGATCTCCCCAAAACACTCCCACGGTGCTAAGAACCATTGCTCTTCTATGGCACCAATGTTAGGGTCTAAAGTGAAGCCCACAGAAGATGTGCACTCCAACAGTGGTGAGTGGGTTTGTTTCTGTATATAAGCCTCAGGGTCAAAGGTTGTGTACATGAACTATGGAGTAAAGGCACACCCCATCTTTGATTTTAAAGGTATCTTTAGTCTCAGCACTGCCTCTTATGAAGGAATGCACTCCTACCTTCATATTTCTCATCGAAGTGGATGATAGTATACCTACTCCTCAGAGCTATTGTGAGGCTTAAAAGAAATCTCATGTAAGCTACAGACACCCAAAGCACCCTGACTTCTTCCCAGTGTTTTCACCCCTGTAATCATTCAAGAAGAGACTCTGGCTAGTGTTTGACTGCTAATCTGAAGGTTAAAGGTTCAAGTTTACCCTTCAGAAGAAAGGTCTGATGATCTAC